AGAGTAAGAGGAGGTGGTGAGGGGCTACGGAGGACGGCGGGAGGACAGGGAGAGGGATGGCCGGGGTAAAGCTAGCGGGGGTGGTCCAATCAGAGACGAGTACGGGTGGGGCGGAATACCTCCGCCCTCTCACTCGCGTTACCTCCGGCGACTCCTCTCCTCATCCCCTTTTCGTCGTGAGGTTGGAATCACCGCTACCTCCATCCAGCGCACACCACTATCCACCTTCTTCGTCCTACCTCTCTGTCTGCACCGTCACCACCGTCGCCTCCTCCTCTTCCTCCTCCTTTTCCTCCTTCTCCTCCTCCTCCTCTTGCTCTCGCTGCGTGAGCCGCTCTCGCTCGGGCCTCTCCTCCTCTCTGAAGCCCCCGCGGCTCCTGGCGGCTACCCAAGACAAGTGGCCGCGAGAGATTCTCACGGCATGAGCGGGGGATCGTTACGTACGACCGACTGCGAGGATATCCACGGCCGGGAGGATTTCCACGACGATTTCCGCGCGAGTACGCGTACCAAAGCATCCACCACGGCGCGCATCGCTCGCCGAGAAAAACCGTGGCGTGCACGTTACCATTGATTTCCGTTGGCTCGCACCCACGGGAGACAGGTGTGAATTTAATCGCTGCGCTACAAGCGGAAAGAGAGGGAGAAGAAAGCCCAGTGTCAGATGGTCCCACGGATTCATGCGATATTACTGTAAGTAGGAGCGACAATGTTGGTTTTATGTTGTCTGTCATATCCTCGTAAGGATCGCCGGTTCTTGTGCTCGGGCATCGGTTCGTCGTGTGAACATTACGTGGTGCGCTTTGGTGAACGCGTGATTTCTCGATATGCCTTCAAGAACTGTTGGTATTACTATGTTTTCTTCTTTTAATTTTTGTATTTTTCTGTTCTCTTGTTTGTAGTAATGGTGATCGTATGACTAAGTGACGGTATTATTCCTTAACGTCACGATTGAACATTGCAAATGGGTAACCGATCTATACGTCCCTCGTTCCGTAAACAGGAGCGGATTGTTTTCCGCTCGATGAGAAATAAATCTGGCGATGATCGTACGAGGAAAGAACCGGGAAAAGGGGACAGTAGTGTCGGGTTGTGCACGGTCGGGTAAACACCTGTGCGCGAGATAGAATGAGAGCCGGGAAAAGAGAGGGGCCCGGCACCGGAGAATGATAAAGACAACGACAGTGGGGTGTGCTCGAATGGCTCGACCAAAACGCGGATGATTCGATCCTTTCTGAACCATTTCACCCGATTTGCCTCGGTGAAATATCGCTGGCCGTCTCGCGGTGAACTGGCACCATACGTGTACGCGTGTGCCTTCAACATCGCCACCGCGCCGTTCGTTGAATCGTGCTGTTTGGCTGAACATTGTCGGACACTTCCACTACTGCTTCTGCTTCGCTGTGCACGGGAGAACCGTGTACCGTGCCACGAACTCCCGGTATTTCGCTCCTATTCGTTTCTCCGAGTTCCCCCGTGATCGCTGATTCGGAACAAAGAACGTTGTCGATTTTTAATGAGTGAAACCGAACAGTACAATAGGGATAAATGAAATCGAAGTTCATTCGATAACGAAGTTGTTTCTCGTAGGTAGGTTCATTTTTGTGAATGAAAGTTATTGGAGGTTTTATTAGATGTGAATTTGATAGAATATTCGGTTCATTGTTGTCAGATGTTAGACGCTTACCCTTTTTGTCAATGCTCGACTGAAAATGTTTGTAATGTTTGCTATTAAACTCGTATTAAATTTTATATCTATATATTCGGAAAATATAAATTTATATTTCATTGTTGATTAATATAAAAATAATTTCTTTATGTTATGGAAGCTAGTCAATATTCTCATCCTTTAGAAAATCTCTTCTACATTGTGACGTTCCCACGAATTTAGTCGGGCGTCACGTAGAACGGCAAAATGGACAGAACGTGGACTTACGGCGATGAGATTATCTCGGCCAATAAACGGAATGGTTCGGAATGACTGCAATTATTTCGTGGCGCGTGTTGCCAGTGCCGATTGGCCAAAACTGTTTCGTGATGAAGGGTGATAAAGGCTTCTAGATACGCGATCACCTAATGCGGTCCAACTTGTATCAACGTAACCGAGACAATTCTCAGCCGTTTAGAAATCACCATCAGATATCAATACAGAACTTACCTCTTACAATTAACCGCCACATTTTCAAAAGGATCGCAAGTGCCAGACGTAACAATTATTCTAATCAAAGAAGCTTCCAACGAAGATGGCATTGAGATATCAAAAACTCATCAAGACAGGTTAACATGTGAATTTTTCTCAATTCCAATGTACTTTGGATAACACATGGATGTTACAGCGAATTATCTAGAAAAACGATATGAAATCATAAATATTATAAAATATTTCTTTGAAGATATACTTTATCCAAATACGATTTTCCATCCAACGTGTAACCGGAATCTCTATTGCTGTCTCTCGTGCTTCTGAGAACCCTTTGTTTATCGGTTGTCTCTCAATCATTCGGGGTCTGTGCAGAAACGTTCTGGCAAGATAATGCGGACTGTAGCTACGTGGAAGTCACGGGAGGAAGACGCTTTATCGTTCCAACTCTCGCGTATACATTTATATTTAAGAGGGAGGACGAAAGTTTGCTGACAACATGGCCGACGCGTCTCTCAGCTTTTCTACTCGCCGGTCTGCGCTTTCATCGTTTGGCAAGGACGACCTTTATTCTATTCTCGGCGCTTGCACGGCATCGAGAACCGCCCACTCGCAGCCTATCTTGTGAAGCAATTTCCAACGGAAAAAAGAGACGAGACCGGCCCGGCTACGGCTATTACGGGGACGCTCGTGAATTCGTTTCGATGGAAAAAAGGTGCGCGTTCTTCGAGGAAGTTTTGCGCGCGCCATTTTTTCCCCCGAGTGATCACGGAAACGCGACATTTTCTTCTTGTTTGTTCCGCCGGTTTACGAGGACCCGATACGCGGAAATATTTCTTGTTCTTGTAGTTGTGATATTATTTGACAATTTCCTTGAACAAGTGTAGAGTTGTGCCTGATTCAGTGACGAGTCATTAATAAGTGTAAGGATAACGAATCTGTTAGAAATTTTAGAACTTTCAAAGAAAATTCTAAATGCAGTTAAAGGTTAATCTAAATTTATATTTATGATAATGTGGAAGATATAAGTAGTTTAGTTAACATTTATTATTTGAGATTGATCAGTATGCTGTTGATATTTCCCTGTTCTATGTGCATTATAATAAGTACCAAAATGAACGGGTTAATTCACTTTGAAGGCAAGAGTTATTTTAATTCCTATTAGCTGTATCTACTTTGAGATGTATATTTGCTATGAAGTAACGATAAATTATCATACATTCGACTACTATTTAGCTTATGCCGTCACATTATTGAGCATTTATATTCCTGTTCACGTTTATAATGATTGACAGTGGTATTTTACAATAATCTGCTATAAATTAGTAGTTACCAAACAGTTTAGTGCATGAAAAACAGATTATACATTGCAGCATTCATTACGAAGTAGCATTAGCTATCAATACACAAGACACGTCGTAATCAACTTGAATTAATACAGTTAATTGGTTAGAGCGCTACACCACCGCTAAATGTGTCTACGAAAAACTGAAAAGCGCGGCGACATAAAAATCCTTTTTCATGCATCCGTTTTCTCACATTTTCATAAGTCTACATCTTTTCTACATCTTAAATTCTTCATCTAGGATCTTAAACACTCCATTTTCTTGTATATTTATGAATAAATAGCTTCATGTGTAACTTTCGCGTTTCACGATGTCACAAACAATTGAAAACCTATATCTATCGTTATAAACCTTCCTAGAGATTAATGAAAGAGGTCTACTCAACAAAAGCAACATATTCCGTGTGCCCAGTGTCGAAGTTGTTGGTCGCGGAAGAAAAATCTGTGTATACACTGAAAAAAGGAATTGTCATGCAGATAGGGGTTTACGAGTCCGCGATCGACACGGTCGCGTCAAGCACGTCAAGCCATTTAAGCACGCAGTCACGCGAGTGCACGACCGCGGGACACGCGAGCATGTCGGCCGAGGGATTTACCGCGGCCGTTCGTCGGTTCGTGGTCTCGCGTTCTCGGTTAATCGGTGAACCGCCGAAATCGTCCGGGCCCGGGAAAAGCGGAGACAGCTTGTCGACGACGATAAAAGCCCATATACACGATGAGACATGTCTCGAGACATGTCTTAAGATAAGCGATGAATTTCAGAATTGTTTACTGTTTCTACAATATGAACATATTGATATATCATACGAAAAATAAATAAGACTCGAACCCATCGGTTGTTCTGAAGTATGTACCGAGACAAGTCTCAAAAAGACTTTGAAGCTGATACGGGAGTCATGAGACCTCGATAATGATACATCTATCATAACTGAACTGTGGATCTTTATATAAATTCCACCTTTGAACAACATACTTAGTACAATATGATTACGTTGAAAATTTTTCCTAGCCGATATTATAAAAACTCTATACTTTGAATATTTCTTATGTTTTTCCACATTATGATCGCTCTCCGTAGTTTTTTACTATCATTTCTCGTAAATGCATAAATATCTGCAGTCCAACCATAATATATCGTATGAAAGGTGAAAAAGGCTCAAATCTATTAGTTATACCGATATATGTCTCAGGACGAGTCTCAACATGTATAAGGGTCTTAAAACGGAGTGGGGTACACGCGGCAGCAATGAAATAGCCGCGCGATGACGAATAGTATCGCCGATAGGGAGGAGCGCGTGCACCCGCGACGAATCAATGAATCGAAGGAGAAAGTGATATCGCGACTCGCAACTCTTCAATGAGAGTATCCAGCAGCGACGTTGCAGAAACGAGGCGCTGATACTATTCATCGCATTGTTCCCATTGTGTTGCATCTACATGCTCGCAATTAACATTTGAACGGCGGTATATTATTCTTGGTGGCTTTCATTTGACAAAAGTACATACCGACACGATATCGGCAGATTTTTCTGAAAGGTTAAGAAATAGTTTCCGCAAAAATGTTCGGTGCGTGTTCCTTTCATTGGTCAGCCTTCGTATTCGAATACAATACTGAACAAACCAACAAAACTACCTTACGCCAGAAGCTTGTCATTTCGATTATTCCGACATACATAGAAATGAACTACCCGTTATACAACGAAATACGATAAGTACACTAACATTTACAATAATTTAAAAATATAGAAGTGATATTTTCTCAGTTCTGTGCCAAGTTTCCTACGCTGCAAATTATCCAGTCCCACTTCAAAATACAACAGGCAACGATAGAATATCAAACAGCAAAAGAACCAGAAAGAGAGAGTAACGGTACTCTCAAAGACCATAATCGCGGTTCTTCCGCATTCCTGCGTGCATCGGGTTGCAATCTACTCTCAGTTGTTTCCAATTCTGTTCCGTTGGTGCTGCGAGGAAGCGAAACGGCATGGGGGCGAAAAACTGGGAAGAAAGGAGCGGCGAGAACGGCCGGGTAAGAGAACCGAGCCAACGGAAACTTTTCCCGTGCAAAGTACCACGCGGACTGGCTCGAGGTTATGAAATTCTGATGGCTCATAAAATGTAAGAAAATTTACAGACTTCACCCCCCTTCTTCCTCCCCCTTCTCTGCTACCCGCCCATCGTACCCTCGCCGTCGTCTCTCTGTTTCTT